TGATACTGTGACCCATCAGATCCTCCTCTCCACCCTCTCCGAGTTGGGAATCTCCGGCGCGGCTCACTCTTGGATTGCGTCCTACCTGACCGGTCGCTCCTACCAAGTGGCGTGGCGAGAATCTGTCTCCGCACCACGTGCCCTCACCACTGGTGTCCCCCAGGGCTCAGTTCTAAGCCCTCTCCTATTCTCGCTATACACCAAGTCACTTGGCTCTGTCATATCCTCACATGGCCTCTCCTATAATTGCTACGCAGACACCACACAACTATAATTCTCCTTTCCCCCTTCTGATAACCAGGTGGCGAATCGCATCTCTGCATGTCTGGCAGACATATCAGTGTGGATGACGGATCACCACCTCAAGCTGAACCTCGGCAAGACGGAGCTGCTCTTCCTCCCGGGGAAGGACTGCCCGTTCCATGATCTCGCCATCACGGTTGACAACTCCGTTGTGTCCTCCTCCCAGAGTGCGAAGAGCCTTGGCGTGACCCTGGACAACACCCTGTAGTTCTCTGCTAACATCAAGGCGGTGACCCGATCCTGTAGGTTCATGCTCTACAACATTCGGAGAGTACGACCCTGCCTTACACAGGAAGCGGCACAGGTCCTAATCCAGGCACTTGTCGTCTCCCGTCTGGATTACTGCAACTCGCTGTTGGCTGGGCTCCCTGCCTGTGCCATTAAACCCCTACAACTCATCCAGAATGCCGCAGCCCGTCTGGTGTTCAACCTTCCCAAGTTCTCTCACGTCACCCCGCTCCTCCGCACACTCCACTGGCTTCCAGTTGAAGCTTGCATCTGCTACAAGACCATGGTGCTTGCCTACGGAGGTGTGAGGGGAACGGCACCTCCTTACCTTGAGGCTCTGATCAGACCCTACACCCAAACGAGAGCATTGCGTTCATCCATCTCTGGCCTGCTGGCCCCGCTACCTTTGCGGAAGCACAGTTCCCGCTCAGCCCAGTAAAAACTGTTCGCTGCTCTGGCACCCCAATGGTGGAACAAGCTCCCTCACGATGCCAGGACAGCGGAGTCACTCACCACCTTCCGGAGACACTTGAAACCCCACCTCTTTAAGGAATACCTGGGATAGGATAAAGTAATCTTTCTACCCCCCCTTACCCCACCCCAAAGAAATAAAAAATATATATAAAAAAATATTGTAAAGTGGTTATCCCACTGGCTATTAGGTGAATGCACCAATTTGTAAGTCGCTCTGGATAAGAGCGTCTGCTAAATGACGTAAATGTATATTAGTGAGTTGAAAGCCATAAAGAAGAGTTTTAGAGTGGTCTAAGGACAGCTGCCGGTCAAATAATCTGCGTTGAGAAGGAAGTTGGTTTGACCCTAGCATAAAATCAGGCCTTGTTCCAGGACGCCGTCCGCTAAGAGACCTTCCTGAGAACGTCCGCTACGACGCCGTCCGCTACGAGGCCGTCCACTACGACGCCGTCCGCTACGAGGCCTTCCTGAGACCGTCCGTCCGCCCGCTACGAGGCCGTCCGTCCGCTACGGGCAAAGGGCATGTGTACGTGTTCTTGAAAATGTTCCGTATTGACTGACCTTCATGTCTTCAAGTAATGATGGACAGTCATTTCTCTTGCTATTTTGAGCTGTTCTTGCCATAATATGGACTTGGTCTTTTACCAAATAGGGCCATCTTCTGTATACCCCCCACCTTGTCACAACACAAGTGATTTGCTCAAACGCATTAAGAAGGAAAGAAATTCCACAAATTAAAGTTTTAAGAAGGCACATCTGTTAATTGAAATGCATTCCAGGTGACTACCTCATGAAGCTGGTTGAGAATGCCAAGCGTGTGCAAAGCTGTCATCAAGGCAAAGGTTGGCTATTTGAAGAATCTAAAATCTAAAATATATTTTGATTTGTTTAACACTTTTTTGGTTACTACATGATTCCATGTGTGTTATTTCATAGTTTTGATGTCTTCACTATTATTCTAAAATGTAAAAAATTGTAAAAATAAAGCAAAACCCTTGAATGAGTAGGTGTGTCCAAACTTTTGTCTGGTACTGAGGGCTCTTAGTAGAGACAGTTAGGTGGGCCAAGTCAAGTCACGGAGAACCACAGTACTTTCAAAGGTCAGGGTAATAATAGAAAGTCTAACCTGAAACAATGAGGTTTAAAACAGGCCAAGACGCATGGGAAAGTTCACCCTGTTACATAAAATAAAACAAATAGCCGAGCACACAAAGCACATTTCAGATACACAGGGCGTATACTAAAGGACATTTAAGGTTTTGCTCATTAACTGAGTAGTCTAAACTGATCTTTTAGACTAGGACCTACATGGTTTCAGTGATGCATGTAGTTCTGTCTTTTAGTTTTTTTTGTTTTTTGTCATTTAGCAGACGCTCTTATCCAGAGCGACTTACAGGAGCAATTAGGGTTAAGTGCCTTGCTCAAGGGCACATCGACAGATTTTTCACCTAGTCGGCTCTGGGATTAGAACCAGCGACCTTTCGGTTACTGGCACAACGCTCTTACCCACTAAGCTACCTGCCGCCCTATCAGTCCTTGAGCTGTTCTTGTCTATTAATGTTCTGTATTATGTCATGCTTCATGTTTTGTGTGGACCCCAGGAAGAGTAACTGTTGCTTTTGCAACAGCTAATGTGGATCCTAATAAAATACCAAAAAATACAAAATGCCATGTTCAACTGGGAATTCCTATATAAGACATGTCACACCTGCTACCACCTGAGGTATTTTAAGGGTCAACTGGGGCAAGCAAGGTAAGGACGGTTAAGTGAAATTATACACACTCCACCATACTCTCCTGAAAGAGACTAAACGAGGGGTCTCTTCTCTGCTGTAGCTACCTGCTAATTAAGAGTAAATTAAAATAAGTGCAGTTTGTGCCTCCAGCCTCCAAACGTCTCAAGGTCTCCGATATTCTCGCTCTCTCTCCCCATCTCTCGGTCTATCCCATCTTTTTCGCTCTCTCACTCTGTCGGAGTCTTTCCATTGCCCTGAAAATACCCTCTCAGCTCAGCTAGCTGCAGCATGTCGAGGCAGTTAACACAGCCAGTTATCTGCATATTCCCGCATCCCTAACCCACATTCTGCAGCCTGTAGGCTGCTCTCAGAACTGGAGCAGAACTGCAATGACCTGCAGAGGTGTGTTGCTGATGTAGACAAGATTCTAGAACACATAAGGTTAGATTCTAGAGAGTCAATTCTATAAGATTCTAGAGTAAATCGGCGCTCAAACTGAAAACGTTTACCCAAGAAAGCCATTACCCAAAGTGCTGGAGTACAGAGCCAACAACATTGTCACGGTCCCAATACTTTTGGAGCTCACTGTATGTAGTCCCATTTGTAATACTAATCAAAACACATACTCAAGACAAAGTACAACAACAAACAAAACATTTTTGTGAAAATGTCAAACCCTGACAGATATATCCTGAATGTGGGAGATATTAGCCTTAGAGACTAATTCTTTAGAGGCTCGGCACACTTTATACAAACGGATGATTCAGAGCACTCGCAGTATGTGAATAGCGTTTTGTCACAAAATGGGCGGCTCCTTGTAGTACGTAGTCCTGCCTGTTGCTTTCGACAGAGTTTTGTTCCGCTCAAATAATGCCCAGCGGTGGGGGCAGTGTTGTGTAGACAATGAAGCTCTGTATTTTACCACCAAACTCGCTTGGTTCAAATGGAACCAGGAAAATAGATTTTCTCTCTTATTCTCTTCTGGCACAAAGTTGTTTCACAAAATAATTAACTGGACATATCAAATTGTGTCGTGGTTCCCAATCAACTTCAAAATCACAACTTCAAGAACGCTCCAGCTTGGTTAAGCTTGGCATTAGACTCCTGTATCAAATAAGCAGACTATTTTGCATTGATAACCAAATATAATCTGTGACTGTTCAAACAATAAACCAAACATCGTAGGCTTAGAATTCCCCCCCAAAATTGTATCTTGTTTAGAAGTAATAACTAGGTGATTCTAGGTTATTTTGAAAAGGTAAAAACAGAAAAATTACTACATTCTATTGTTAGCTGATATGGAAGCAAATATGTTCAAGCAGCATATCAAACTTGGATAATTTGATAGGTTACACTGGCAAGTATAAGATTATTTGCCAAGGCATATTATTTAATTATCAATCTGATTATTTCACATGGAGATGTGGGAAGCTAAAAGGTTAGCTAGCTTGCAGGCTGTTTAGCCAGCTTTCTAGCAAGGGAAGAGAACCAGAACGTGATTCTTCTTTGCTTTCACCACAAATGGAAAGACAACAAAAAAAACTCTGCTATCGTCCCTTTGTGAACGTTGCTATTTGGGAGTCTAGCAACGCATGGTATGGCGAGGTATCATGTGACCAAAAGTTGCGTGCTGCTTAAAAAACACAAATCTGACTGCACAGGCTCACTCCCACACATAAAATGACGTATGTGATCTCAGCATCAGCCTTTAATGTCTGTAGGCTGTGTAGCCCATCATGTCAACCGTAGCCACCAGGTCACATAATGACAGTGTTGGACTGACACCAACCACAGGGAAGAGCGAGACAAAACTACATGTGTGGCCAAGTAACTCCAGGGTCAACTTCCTCTTTAAACAACTTTCTCCTCCTAGTCAGTAGGATAACTTGTTACTTTATTCAGTTTTTACTTTATTCTGAAACAGTTTGATCAAATAGGGAAATACACTTAATAATGAATTTAGGATACGTTTGATCAGTACACTGTGCTATGAGAGTAACTTTTTCATTTTGGTAAGCATATTTGTGAAGGAGAGAAAAATTGGTTCCAGGTTTGAAGATGCATTAAGAAACAAGTAACATGAACAAGACAAAAGGAATGGTCACATCTCAGAGTACCCACCAGCTACAGTTACCACCAGGCTGATTATGTTTGCCATCTTTCAAAACAAAAACTCTTTCCCTAAGCTTTTTCCCAAACTACAGTGTGTGTTGACACTGATTACATGTTCACTTCATTAGGTTCCTATATACACTTCTACACGCTTTGAAGCTTCAAAAAGGAAGGCGTGGGAATTAGTTTTAAAAAAGGCCTTGTGATGAACAATTAACTCAAAATGAATGATTTCCCTTGACATTACTGCGTGCACACACACACACACACACACACACACACACACACACACACAGTCTTGGAGGGAGAATTGTATGAGAGAGGAAGAGCGTCACGGCGTATTAATAACAATACAGAGTATTTAGGGAGTACTGTTTCCTCAAACTATACTCTGAACCCTCAGACAGAACAGAACCAGTCCCTTGTTACTTTACAAAACAGGAAGGTTTAACCTGCACCTGTGTGTGTGTGTGTGTGTGTGTGTGTGTGTGTGTGTGTTATGCCTGGGTTCCCCCCCTACCTCCCAGGTGGGAGCCAGGGGCCGATCTCCAGACCGGATACTGGAGGTAGGGCCACACAGGAACGGGTTGAGAAGCCAGGGCTGAGGGTTTCAGCGTGGGGAAGTGAAGTGGTGAAGGGGGGCAGTTGGGGTAGACGTGGAGGTCTGGATTATGGGGGTACAGTGGAGTATGTGTGTTTGCTTGCTTGTGTGTCTGTATGTACAGTACCAGTCAAGAGTTTGGACACACCTACTCATTCAAGGGTTTTTCTTTATTTTGACTATTTTCTACATTGTAGAATAACAGTGAAGACATCCAAACTATGAAATAACACATATGGAATCATGTAGTAACCAAAAAAGTGTTAAACAAATCCAAATATATTTTAGATTCTTCAAAGTAGCCACCCTTTGCCTTGATGACAGCTTTGCACACTCTTGGCATTCTCTCAACCAGCTTCATGAGGAATGCTTTTCCAATAGCCTTAAAGGAGATCCCACATATGCTGAGCACTTGTTGGCTGCTTTTCCTTCACTCTGCGGTCCAACTCATCCCAAACCATCTCAATTGGGTTGAGGTCGGGTGATTGTGGAGGCCAGGTCATCTGATGCAGCACTCCATCACTCTCCTTCTTGGTAAAATAGCCCTTACACAGCCTGGAGGTGTGTTGGGTCATTGTCCTGTTGAAAAAATGATAGTTCCACTAAGCGCAAACCAGATGGGATGGTGTATCGCTGCAGAATGCTGTGGTAGCCATGCTGGTTAAGTGTGCCTTGAATTCTAAATAAATCACAGACAGTGTCACCAGCAAAGCACCCCCACACCACCACCTCCATGCTTCACGGTGGGAACCACACGTGCAGAGATCATCTGTTCACCTACTCTGCATCTCACAAAGACACGGCGGTTGGAACCAAAACTCGCAAATTTGGACTCATCAGACCAAAGGACAGATTTCCACCTAATGTCCATTGCTCGTGTTTCTTGGCCCAAGCAAGTCTCTTCTTATTATTGGTGTCCTTTAGTAGTGGTTTCCTTGCAGCAATTAGATCATGAAGGCCTGATTCACACAGTCTCCTCTGAACAGTTGCTGTTGAGATGTGTCGGTTACTTGAACTCTGTGAAGCATTTATTTGGGCTGCAATTTGAGGTGCAGCTAACTCTAATGAACGTATCCTCTGCAGCAGAGGTAACTCTGGGTCTTCCTTTCCTGTGGAGGTCCTCATGAGAGCCAGTTTCATCATAGCGCTTGATGGTTTTTGCGACTGCACTTGAAGAAACATTCAAAGTTCTTGAAATGTTCCGGATTGACTGACCTTCATTTCTCTTTGCTTATTTGAGCTGTTCTTGCCAAATAGGGCTATATTCTGTATACCACCTCTACCTTGTCACAACACACACATTAAGAAGGAAAGAGATTCCACAAATTAACTTTTAACAAGGCACACCTGTTAATTGAAATGCATTCCAGGTGACTACTTCATGAAGCTGGTTGACAGAATGCCTAGAGTGTTCAAAGCTGTCATCTAGGCAAAGGGTGGCTACTTTGAAGAATCTCAAATATAAACATATTTTGATTTGTTTAAACACTTTTTTGGTCACTACATGATTCCATATGTGTTGTTTCATAGTTTATGTCTTCACTATTATTCTACAATGCTGGAATACCCATCCACGACCCATTTTCAATGCCCTGGCTGAGGGAAGGAGGTTCTCACCCAAGATTTGACGGTACATGGCCCCGTCCATCGTCCCTTTGATGCGGTAAAGTTGTCCTGTCCCCTTAGCAGAAAAACACCCCCAAAAGCATAATGTTTCCACCTCCATGTTTGACGGTGGGGATTGTGTTCTTGGGGTCATAGGCAGCATTCCTCCTCCTCCAAACACGGCGAGTTGAGTTGATGCCAAAGACCTCGATTTTGGTCTCATCTTACCACAACACTTTCACCCAGTTCTCCTCTGAATCATTCAGATGTTCATTGGCAAACTTCAGACGGGCCTGTATAAGTGCTTTCTTGAGCAGGGGGACCTTGCGGGCGCTGCAGGATTTCAGTCCTTCACTGTGTAGTGTGTTACCAATTGTTTTCTTGGTGACTATGGTCCCAGCTACCTTGAGATCATTGACAAGATCCTCCCGTGTAGTTCTTGGCTGATTCCTCACCGTTTTCATGATCATTGCAACTCCACGAGGTGAGATCTTGCATGGAGCCCCAGGCCGAGGGAGATTGACAGTTCTTTTGTTTCTTCCATTTGCGAACAATCGCACCAACTGTTCTCACCTTCTCACCAAGCTGCTTGGCGATGGTCTTGTAGCCCATTCCAGCCTTGTGTAGGTCTACAATCTTGTCCCTGAAATCCTTCGAGAGCTCTTTGGTCTTGGCCATGGTGGAGAGTTTGGAATCTGATTTATTGATTGCTTCTGTGGACAGGTGTCTTTTATACAGGTAACAAGCTGAGATTAGGAACACTCCCTTTAAGAGTGTGTTCCTAATCTCAGCTCGTTACCGGTATAAAAGACACCTGGGAGCCAGAAATCTTTCTGATTGAGAGGGGGTCAAATACTTATTTCCCTCATTAAAATGCATACAATTTATAACATTTTTGACATGCGTTTTTCTGGATTTTGTTGTTGTTGTTATTCTGTCTCTCAATGTTCAAATAAACCAACCATTAAAATTATAGCCTGATCATTTCTTTGTCAGTGGGCAAACGTACAAAATCAGCAGGGGATCAAATACTTTTCCCCCCTCACTGTACATACAGCTCACATCACATACCCAGCACAGTCTAGTGAGACTACTCAAATGAGCCCTGATGCAGGCAGGCAGAGAGGCAGGGAGGCAGAGAAAACAGGTACTGAGGCAGGCAGAGAGGGAGGCAGAGAAAACAGGTACTGAGGCAGGCAGAGAGGGAGGCACAGAAACAGGTACTGAGGCAGGCAGAGAGGGAGGCAGAGAAAACAGGTACTGAGGCAGGCAGAGAGGGAGGCAGGGGTCCTGAGTTAATAAGGGAAGTGGAGTAATGTCTGGAGGGCCTAGTACACAGAGGATATTATTAAAAACAGCCACGTAATCACTCAGCCTGGGCTGACTGCAGACCGGACCAGCCGTATCCCAAATGCACCCTATTCCCTATAAAAGGAATAGGTTGCCATTTGGGACGCAGATCCATCTCAAGGACTAATAGGGGAGAAATTGATATATTTAATTTACACTGATTTAAATTATGACTGGAGGGACTCCTCAGAAAATAACTGCCAGCCACTTTGGTCTCGATATTCAAATTCAGTTGAATAGTTTCTCTGAAACTTCACGTGGTTTCTCTGATACTTCATCTAGTTTCTCTAACCAAAATGTAAATAGTAGTTGCAAATCCATGCTTGAAAAATCGGAGGAGAATCTGTGGGCTAATGCTTAAAAGTGTAGTACCATCAATTAAATACAGGGTTACAAGATCAGGTGTTGTCAACTACTAGCTTGTTATCTGACTCATTTGATTATATTTTTTAAATTCCGCTAACGTAACACAGGAGTATTTCAAGAGGAAGTTACTGGATCTTAGCATAAATAAATGTCTCGGTTTTCTCATTTGCTTTCCTAGCCTGTAAATAGGCCACATATTACGTGGCTAAGGTAGCTCAACAGTAGGGTATTATAAGAACATCAACCAGACAAACATTTCTCGACCGACCCCACTGAGTATCCAAATCATATGGAGTTGTGTCTACTTCCAGTCCTCATCCCTCATTCTCACTGCAAATGTGCTCATTCAACAGCCTCCTCTGAAACTCAGGACAGGATACAGGAATGAGTGCTCGTGGCTCAGGGGTGGTGTGGGAGGTAAGAGGTGACCTCTTCCCTCCATGTGGAGGTAAATAAACAGCTATGGACTGGAGCCATCACACTAAATCAGTGTAGGTCTGAACCACATGCCAGCTCCAGCCCCATCCTATGTCAAAGGCACCAGCCACCCAGCCCATATCCCCATCCCAAACCCTATCCCCAGCCCCCGTCTGCCCCAATCATATCCCCAGCCTCAGCTCCAGCCACATCCCCATCCCCAGCCACATCCATCCCTGTTTCTGTTAGGTCTGGTGACTTTGGCTTGGTGTTTCACTGTACAGGGACTAGGGATCACACTGCATTTGGCTGAGCTCAATACAGATGTTACAAGCCGGTCCCTCTAACCACTGCTGCTTTGACCTGGTTAAGAAATGACAGGGTAAGCGTTTGTGTTTTATGTGTGTGTAAGAGTGCGTGTGTGTGTACAGTATAAAAGTGGAATAGTATAAAAGTAATCATTCTACCCCCCCCCCCCCCCCCCACACAAATTTTTTTTTTTTTTTAAGTGGTTGTCCCACTGGCTATCATAAGTTGAATGCACCAATTTGTAAGTCGCTCTGGATAAGAGCGTCTGCTAAACGACGTAAATGTAAATTTAATGCCAAAAGAAGAACCCACACCATAGGTGGCCTGCCTGAACACTGCAAGACAATTCCTGCCCCGGTTTAACGGGAACAGATAAGTGGTAGTGTTGCGCAGTGTGTGTATATATAGAGGGAGGCCCGGGCAGGCAGACTCAAAAGAGCATCACAACCCACAGTGCTCCTTTCTGCCAACTCATCCTCCTCCTCCTCCTCCTCCTCCTCCTCCTCCTCCTCTCTCGCTCTCTCTCTCTCCACACCCCAAATCAAAACGACATGTTCCTGAGACACCATATACAGGCAATAGGGTTTCAGAGAGCCATTAATCCAAATGGAGGAAAGGTTTAGGACTAGGACTAGAGAAAGCGAAGCTACCACACAGCTAGCAGAGTAGCAGAGTATTAGCTAGCAGTTGGGGGGGGGGGGTCGTTGGATAGTGGGACCTCTTACCTTCTCGATTTCCAGCGCTTTAGCTGCGATGGCTTGAGAGCGCCGTGTCTTAAAGTTGTCCTCCTGCGTCTGCTCCTTCGCCGACACCGTCTCCTTCGGCCCCGCTAGCAGGGCTGGGGTGGGGACACGCTCCTCCTGGGAGGGCAAAGGTTAAAGGGTTAGAGGTCAGGGGTTAGAGTAACAGGCAGGACACAGCAGTTCAAATGGCTTAACAGATTCTGCTTTCAAATTCAAAGCGTGTGAAGGCAACACTGATCAGAGTCAACATGGTTTTTGCTGTTGTTTTCTCGTTGTTCAGCGCAACAAAACACTATTATGTATGCAGCATCTCAACAGTAATCTAGAATGTTTTGACCACTACAACTTTGATCAAAGGACTGCAGACAGCCAAAGATGAAGGCCCACGCCTACAGACGTCAACGAATCATCATACTGCATCATTTAGTGTTAAAAGGGAAAAGAGAAACAAAACATGATCAATTTGAAGCGAGAGGAAGCCTTTTGTTACCGTGTTAACATTGAAAACCAACAGCTTGTGAAACACCCATTACTTTCAGTTTACAGAATCCAGAAAGCTTTCAACCACGGCAAGGAAATGGGTCATGCATGGTGAACGCAGCCTTAAAAGTCTATTGTCTATCGTGACCTCGTCAGACCACAAGGAGGAGACAGGCCATATAACGTACATCAACTGTCCCTCTGTGATGTGACTTTCAGAATAACATACACAGGGATCTGAAACATATTCCATCCTCCATGACAAGGCAATGAATTGTGTTGATGAACTCTGTTTCCAAAGAACAGAATGGAAAATGTGACGACTAAAACATGTTGAAAACACAGACAACTAATAAACTGTCTGTAAGGTAACAGTCTGTAACTATATATTGAGGCTAATGGAATTCCACAATACAATCCGGTGCTGGCAAAACGTTCTGATCTACGGAGATTGTTCTAGCTTATAGGAATAGTTTAACGCTGCTATGCTAAACGGTATGCTTCTACAGGTATCGCAGTGATACAAACACTGATCTTATCAACTGGATGTGAGGGGTTAAACTGAATTAAAAGCAACAGTAGTCATGTAGTTACATAGTCATGCAGTCAGGCAGCCCCACCTTGATTGCCACATAGCTGTGTGGTGATCCATCTAGGGAGGCACTTCTGGTGTGGCTCAGCAACCTGGGCTTATCTGTGGAGGAGAGGAAGACGGACAGAAAAAAAGAGCGAAGAGAAAGATGGAAGCAGTTAGAAATCCAGCACACTTGCATCTCTCACACATGTACAGTAAATCTAAAGAAGCATTTTAAACAGAAGCAATGTGAAAGAAAACAGGAGGGCGGTAAACCAAATCAAATCAGGACCACCGACCGCAGTACGATTCCATTGAAATCCTCTCAGTATTTAAAACACATTGGGGAACTACCACTACTTATTCTCTACAGTCATCTACCAGGCGATCCTTGCACTAGTACAGTTAACAATGGATAGGACAAGATGCTACGGGACTGTGGACAAGCACAGCACGGACAAGTCGCTGTTTATTTTACGTTCTCTCATTGGAATAGCTCGCACAATAGCGGTTGACAAGTTCAGCTGTGACTAAATTCAAATATTGTGCTCTGCCGGCTACAATAAGTCTATAAACAAACACGGACGGCTTTGTTTTTATTTAAGGAATCTCCCACGGCGATGAGACTGAGCCAATGTGAAATTAAAAACACTTCCTTCCAGGACGTTTTATTCCTTTTTCCCCCAGCTAAACTGCAGAGATCTCAGGTTGTGAGACTGACTGAGACACCAAGTAACCCATGAAATAGTGGTTCCTTAGTTCAAACTGCAGCCAAACTAGACGTTTTTTTATTTTATTTTTATTTAGGCTATTAGCTGTGTTAGTAGAGTAGCACCGACCACAGACATAGAACTCTCTCTCTACGACAGACGATTTGTGTGCACTGTGAAGAGAACCTGGTAATCTGGTATGACGGTCACTGACCAGACACACTGAATTAGGAGAAGAGGCTTATTATTAGTGACACATAGATCAGCAGATAACCACAAACGGCAAATCCAGAAGAGGAGCATCCAGGAGTGGTTATGGTGTGTGTGTGTGGTGTGTGTGTGTGGTGTGGTGTGTGTGTGTGTGTGTGGTGTGGTATCTGTAATCCAACAAAGATAAATTTAATGAAATCAGTCAAGCAGCAGCAAAAGGGACCTATGCAGATTGAACATCAAACCACTAATGTGGAATGAATGAGTTTGTTTACATGCACACTAATAATTAGATATTAAATTGACTATGGCAGTAGGCTGAGTATGGCACTAGTCAGGTTTAGGGCTGGGCGATATGGCCAAAATATAATATCATGGTATTTTAAAAAAATTGGACGGTATGATGGCGTTTGACGATATTTTATGTTTTGGAGTAATACAAGTTCTCCATTCCCTTTATGGGTAGTGCGTGACCATACGATGGCAACACATACATTCTAAGTGATTTTAATGGGTCTTTCTCCATTCTGATTGTTTTATACTGTTCAATTCAACCAAAAATAATTGATCAATTTCTGCATTTCCTGCACTAATTTCAGATCATTTCCACACTGCCACGAAGGGCTGCACGATATGGGCAAACAACCTAGGCCTTATTTTTATCCAAATGTTGCAATTGCGATTTGCCTTGCGATTTAGAGCAGAACACTTGGGTGAACTGTTGGAATCATGGGAATAGAATGATTATTCTAATTCTATAGTTAGAATATAATAGTGGGCACTTTGAATATTGTTGTTTGCCATGACAACGAATGAAAATGCCAGGGAGGAGTTATTGTGACAGGGTAGGATACAAAGTGTTGACAAGTGTTTCCTAGGGGACCCTATAATCTTTGGCTACATTGAATGTTCTCTTAGCTACTTCATGTTGCTAAAATATTTATGCTTCCCCTTATTCCTATTTGATTTAGAAGTTACTGTTGCACAAACAACATGCTGATTTAGATCTACACCATCACTGGTATTATCAGGCTGTATAGCTAATTACATTTGCTCTGACTCCGTACATTTATTAGTTGGCTAGCCAGATAACTAGCGATTAGCGGCTAACAAGATTTAGGCCCAACTTGCTAAGAGAAGACAAACTAGCTATTTACAGATGTAAGAAACACAAACGAATCGTGTAATTATACAGAACACTAGTGGATTTATATTAAGAAGCAAAGTGTTGCTTTAGCAGTATGCTTAGGGTCATTGTCCTGCTGGAAGGTGAACGTCCGTCCCAGTCTCAAACCTCTGGAAAACAAACAGGTTTCCCTCAAGAATTTCCCTGTATTTAGCGCCATCCATTCAATTCTGACCAGTTTCCCAGTCCCTGCCGATGAAAAACATCCCCACTGCATGATGCTGCCACCACCATGCTTCACTGTGGAGATGGTGTTCTCGGGGTGATGAGAGGTGTTGGGTTTGTGCCAGACATAGCGTTTTACTTGATGGCTAAAAAGCTAAATTTTAGTCTCATCTGACCAGAGTACCTTCTTCCATATGTTTGGGGAGTCTCCCACATGGCTTTTGGCGAACACCAAACGTGTTTGCTTATTTTTTTCTGGCCACTCTTCCATAAAGCCCAGCTCTGTGGAGTGTACAGCTTAAAGTGGTCCTATGGATAGATACTCCAATCTCCGCTGTGGAGCTTTGCAGCTCCTTCAGGGTTATCTTTAGTCTCTTTGTTACCTCTCTGATTAATGCCCTCCTTGCCTGGTCCTTGAGTTTTGGTGGGCGGCCCTCTCTTGGCAGGTTTGTTGTGGTGCCATATTCTTTCCATTTTTTAATAATGGATTTAACGGTGCTCTGTGGGATGTTCAAAGTTTGGATATTTTTTTATAACCCAACCCTGATCTGTACTTCTCCAGAACTTTGTCCCTGACCTGTTTGGAGAGCTCCTTGGTCTTCATGGTGCCGCTAGCTTGGTGGTGCCCCTTGCTTAGTGGTGTTTCAGACTCTGGGGCCTTTCAGAACATGTGTGTATATATACACACACTGAGATCATGTGAAAGTGAAAAATGTATGCACTCACTAACTAAGTCGCTCTGGATAAGAGCGTCTGCTAAATGACTAAAATGTCAAATGTAATGTGACACTTACGCTGCACACAGGTGGACATTATTTAACAAATTATGTCACTTCTGAAGGTAATTGGTTGCACCAGATCTTATTTAGGGGCTTCATAGCAAAGGGGGTGAATACATATGCACGCACCACTTTTCCGTTATTTATTTTTTAGAATCTTTTGAAAACAGGTTATTTTTTTCATTTCACTTCACCAATTTGGACTATTTTGTGTATTTCCATTACATGACATCCAAATAAAAATCAATTGAAATTACAGGTTGTAATGCAACAAAATAGGAAAAACACCAAGGGGGATGAATACTTTTGCAAGGCACTGTATCCACCGAAAAAAAAAGAGTCCTAGTCTTTTTATTAGATTCAGTGATGGAATTATTTTGGAGCACAAAAGAGAGTTACTATATAATGGTATGCATGCCCCACTCCACTCACAAGGGAAGGTAATGTGAGTGAGTGCTGGCTTGATCTTGAAGACATCTGCTAGCTCAGTGTTGATGCTACTCTCACACCAGCCAAAGTTCAGTCCTTGAATCAAAAGCCTTCGAGAAAAATGTGTATGTGTAATTAAAATCGTTAACATGTTCCAGCACCTCTCTTTAATAGACACCTCCACTGAAAACAGATGCTCCTGTCAGAGAGCGGTGCTACATTTCAGCTTTTACATCACTTCAAACCAAGGTGCCAAAGTTGTAAGTCGCTCTGGATAAGAGCGTCTGCTAAGTGATTAAAATGTAATGTAAATGTAAAGTGTTCCTTTATGGATAGGCCTACATGTAGCAAAACACTTTTTGAGGAATATGTTGGATCATTGAATTGGCTAGGCTGTTCAATGTGTAATGTAGACTTACCAGGTTCTCTGTTCTGGCTGTGAGGCTCTTCGTTATACCCTGGAGGGGCGAGAGAGAAAAAAGGTCCCCAAAATGACTGGCAGCAGTTACAAACACAAAAGGTTTTAATATCCAATGCATTGCTTCATGTCAAGTGGTATGCTAGTATGGACACTGGTACAGAGCCAGACTAAAGTGATAGATTTAAAACTGATATTGTTGATAATTGACGGCTGAACTAAACCGCTCTGTAGTTAAACCAAAAGGAAACTCCCATCCCCTATGGGCCCTGGTCAAACGTAGTGCACTACAGGGAATAATAGGGAGACATTTGGGATGCAGACTTACTCTTCTGCTGGCTCTGCTGGTAGGAGAAGCTCTTCTGGTCCCTGTCTGGGGAGTAGCTCCTTCTGTTGGTGTTGGACCCGGAGCGCATGAGAACAGGGCCTGGTGGGATATCCATCCTGATGGGAGAGCGATCCCGTACGGTTGTGTAAGTGTCCCCGGCTGGGCCTACAGGGTAGGGCCCCGGGCCCCTTCGCCTAAGACCCTCAGGGTCCTCTCTGATAAGACAATCAGAGAGAGAGAGAGAAGGGGATTCAAGGGCCCATCCATTCAACTATAGAACTAAAGCCAATGTCTCTACATGAGCACTTGGATTCTAAATCCCTCTAAGTGTAGAGTGAAAGAACGAAACACTGAAGTTGCTGGACAAAATAAGTTGTGGCTTGTATCTTAAAAAACAGTAAAACTGAAAGCCAACATTTGAGTAGTTCTATTGAGTAGTTTTGGCACTAGAAGGAACAGGCCTACCCTCGGTCCAAGTACATGAGGGCCTGCATCAGATTGGAGTCCACTCTATCGGGGTTAGCTGCCGGAGACATGGTCCTTGAGAGAGGAGCTATCCCTTGAACTCCGCTGCTGAGGTGGGAGTCCGCTCTGCTGCTTATTCTAAAATGACAGAAGAAAATACCTCAATCAAATATTATCAAAGTAAATACTTTAACATACACTATATTTGAAGAAAATACTGTCCTACCTTTAAAACCAACTAGTTATAGTCCAAAGATTAGCCTAGATGAATCGATGTATTGCCCTTCTCTAATAGATTCAGATCCACCCATCCCTAATAACTACCCTCTAAAAGGCCTTATGAAGTTTTGAAAACCCTTTGTAAAGACTGAATGTTAACTCTGAGGCAGAGCTCATCATAAGACCTGTTAGCCCTAAATAACAATCTAATAGCATCCACGCAAGGACAAACATCTAAAACCACTTCTTCCAAACTGTGCCCTTGAACATGTGCGTGAGCAGTCAGCAGCAGTCTTCTTCCTAGAACGTCTGCGGGGGACCTTTGTCTTCCAGGCTATGGGCTCCTCCTCAACCTCTTCCTCCTGCTCCTTGACTTCTTCCAATGCAGGCTAGAATTTGTTTATCAGGTACTTGGCTGCTTCTTCTCCAAACAATCCCTGTGGGCTGACCGGGGCATTCAGAAGGGCCAACTTCTCCCAGTTTGGCAGCTCGATCAGCGAGAGCCAAAGATTCCGCTGTGCTCCCATAGCACGTCCCAGGTCCTCGGTCACCCAGGAGCAATTGATTGCCAACTCTGTGGCCTTGATGATCTCAATAGCTGTATCCTTGTCAATCGGTTTGGTGGCATGCTCTGCCAAGACCTTGGCGTTGTAGGCTTGCAGCAGGTTTGCCGTGTTGAGTGCGCAGCTAGCCTGGCCACAAGCAAGATAAGCCTTCTCCAGAAGCTGTTCAGTGATCTTGTCATCCAAGTTGGGGAGTGTAGGTGTGGACCTCCGCCCAGGAGGGGGAAAGGGATGACGCCACACGGGGAAAAGGCAGTGTATCCCTTCTCTGCCTCCCGGTCCATGGCCAAACAGGCATTGTTTGCCTTTGCAAAAACCCTTCACTTGCGTGGGACTGGTACCTGGGCGATCCGAGGACTTGTTTCATGGACGTCAATGAAGAAGGGGAGAGGACGCCGTAGTTGCTTTTGCTGTGACGCTTCAAGGTCAACACCGTCCTTTCTGGTTGGGACAGTGTAACTATACGAAATATAAGATGTCAAATAAATTATATCCAGCTCAGGGCTCCAGCTATGCATTTGGTTTGCTAACTTGCTAGCTAAGTGGCTAGATGTCAAGATCAAGCTTCTTGGTTACAGCAGACATTCAATCCCCTCATGGATCAAGATTCATGTTGCCTAAATTGTTTTGTGCATAACCCAAAGTTCTATTTGGAAAATAAGTTATATTTTGGAGGTAAACAGCGCCTCTTGTGTTCACTTCCGGTAATACCATATACCCCAGGTATGGCACAGAAACGGTATGAAAATCTGGATACCGCCCCAACTCTAGAGGGGCCATCCACGAATCCAACGGCACCTGGTTTTCATGACCCCTGCCTGAACTTAGAGGGCCACGTCACAAACAAAATGTCCTCCAGCTTTTACGACCCCCAGGCCCGTTTGAAGTAGCCAAGGCTCAACCTGCCATTTGCCAAATAAAGTTAATTACCACCGTTGCAGTGAGCGATCCCCCTAACCTCACCTCTCTTTCCATAACAAAGCTATGAAAAAGTAATTCTATGGACACTATACTTGGAAAAAATGTCAGCTTTAGAAGGAAAAAGTGATTTTTTAAAAATATTTGTTATACTATATCTATATCTTCAAAGCAGTTCTTCCAATTTAGGAAGATGTTCTCTAAACGCATGTTACATCCTTGCGGACCAGGGAGAAGAAAACATGCTGATCTGAAAGCAAGGCACAGCCCCACCTGCAATAAGAGCTCCAATATCGCTTTCAGGTCCAAAAAGAGAGAACTGCACAATACCAGGGTGGGAAAAGGAGGCCCTGGCTGACTGAGCTAGGAAGCAGAAGGAGATCTGAGAGAGCTTTCTGCGTTCCAAATGGCACCCTATTCCCCATATAGTGCACTACTTTTGACCAAAAGTATTGCACTATATAGGTTGCCATCTGGGACTCAGCCTCTCTCTATTAAAAAGGTCATGCTGGTAAAGCCCCAATCCATTACACCGAAATCATTAGACAAACAAATAAAAAATTTAAATGACCTCATTTTGAAAACTAATAATATATAAACCCAATACCAATGTAATTGGCTTCTTTAGTCAAACGGCAGCCGATCCCTCCCATCGCTTTCATCATCTTACTGAATGCAATCAGCCACATGCACAAATATAACATGACTGCAATTATGGGTTGAGGTCTAATTACAAAGACAGGTTTACAAAAAACCATTAGAGCAGCGTGCAGCAAGGTTTGTCTGAGGTGACTTTGAAAGTTCAAAGGGAGAGTAGTTGACTCCTAACCAGTTGCACTTCTGGCACTTAACAAGGCTCCCCATTTTCCCTCATTATCTGCTATTCATCACGAGGTCAAGAGCTCCACAAAGGAGCAGATTGATTAATCCACCGCCTGCCTCAGTTGCCAAGGCCCCCCCTGCAGTGTTCACCCCACACACACACACACACTCTCTGCATGTTAGTGGGGGACCCTGTGACTGAGGACCATGAAGCAGCCCCTAGACCCAGTACCCTGTCTTTAATTGTGTTAGGGAGAGGTAGTGGGGTGGTGGTGTGGCCTTGCTGTTCATCTTCAGTCTGGCCACCTCATTCTCCACATGGCCGGTTGATGAGACACCTCCGGCCAGGAGAGAGCCCCTCCAAAGACTTCCTGGCCGCTGCTTCCTGTGGGCTGCACTGCAGGGGTGACTCCTCCCGCCAACCTACTGACCACACTAATAGTGGAAAACCAGACCCAGATGCCTGCCTGCCGCCGTGTCAACACCACACCAGGAGTCTTCTATAGCCTCCACTGCCTACAAGTCTCCTACAAGCATTGCCTACAAGCCAAGGAAGCAGTTATGATTATTATCATCATTCTAAACCAAAAAGACCGAACTTGGAGATTCGAATTGTCAACTAAACATTTTGCATTTACAATCTCTAAATACTATTTTTAGCCAATTATTTTGTGCATTTCTGCAATAGGGCACCGACGGGCCGTGCCGCTCTTTTCGTGGTTGTGGCTCCGGGACTGACACGGCCACTCATTTTTAGCATGCATTTCAATAACATGCTGATTTTCGTGGTTCCAAACGTTGAATAGATGCAAACACCTCTGGGGTGAACCATTAATTCAAAAGATTACGTTTGGAACCACCTCGCCTTACAAAAACTGATATATGGGAAAAAAAAATGTCAATGGTAGACTGTGTACATACTGGAGTTAAGAGGCAAACAAACTACTCATCCCATACAGCATTGCGGTCTGTGTCGTCCAGTCACAGAGCAGATGCAAGTCACGTGATCTTGGGCCGGTGGCTGATGGATCGCTGGTTCGGGTCCCCGTTTTTGACCTTGTGGGAGATCTGTCGACGTGCCCTTGAGCAGGGCGTTGACCCTGGTTGCTTCTGTGTGTCTCTCTGGATGGGAGTCTGTTAGTAGACTAATATGATGTAGTTGTTGAGCGGCTCCACTGCAAGTATATTGTACGTTTTAAATATTCAATAAAAAATGTTTTAACATAATAATACAATTAGAAAAGTCACATGATCTGTTGGCAAGCACATGATGCCGCTCCACAGCTGCTGTATCGTCCAATCACGGGGGAGATGCAAGTGACCTGCTCTGTTGGCGAACACGCATGTGTTCACTCGCGGATCACGTGACTTGTATCTGCTCTGTGATTGGACGATACAGACCTCAAGGCTCATGGTTAGTGTCGTTTTTTTGGGGGTGCTCTTTGCACCAGAAACTGACGGTAAAAACTCCTTCTCAACACAGAGGTTAAAACATTCCTAACCGATGGGTACTACATCAACATACGAATTGTCTTGCAATCTTGGGAGAAAATAGAATGTCTACGTTGCGCAGTAATATCGCTAATATTTATTATCACAACGGGTGATTGCATTGAGAATGAACTTCCTGGAACTTCTCGTCGGTGCCCTATACACCGGTAGGTGCCCCCCTCCCCCCCAGCACAGCAGACAGCACATGTACACTGTGCATAGATTCTGTGGAGAGCCAAGAGAATGGTGGTGGTTGTTTAGCTAGAGGGGGGGGGGGGGGGGGGGGGGGGGGGTTTAGCCTTGCTGGCTGGCTCAGTCAGTAGAGCCCTTTGTCCTTGTCTGGAGCCTGGTGTGACTCCACTTTAGGCGGAGTGAAAGGGAGGGGTTGGTCTTGGCCTGTGAACTGTTGCCACTCTGTTTTGGGCCAGTGCTACACGGCTGTCTTGGCAGCACTGTGGCAGAGCAGAGCCACTGGCTTTAGCTGTGCTCTGTGTGGGGTCGCGCTCCAAGCCCCTCAAGGCGAGGAGTATAGTGGCTGATAAGTGGAATACGTTATGAAACGAGAGCCACCAGCCTCCTCTCAGTCGTTCCCTCACAATAGCTCACAGAGATAAGTTGGCAAATTCACTTCAGTCCCTCTTCATTGCGATTGTGTGATATAAGTCAAGTGTGGTATATCTCGAGTGGGGATTTCAGTCTAAGTTTTTCCTGAGAGGGGTACTAATTCCTACTGAGACGTAATAATTAAAAGTCCAGAATTCAAGGTTTTGATTAATGCCATATGTTATATAACCAAAGTTATGGATTACACAAAGATACATACATGATTTGAAAAATTCTCCTCAGATCCCTCAAATCAACACAAAACCTCAAACCATTCAGAAAGGGGCTTGAGAAAGACAAGACTCTGCTGCCACCTGGTGGTTCATAGTATAATAATTTAATAATAACAATAAATGCCATTTAGCAGAAGCTTTTATCCAAAGAGACTTACAGTAACGGGTGCATAACACCACAACCCTGTTTTATACAAGCTCATATACAGCATCAGTACACTACACTTGTCACCGAATCGTTATAAATATGGTAAGGAGCAATACAAGGCACCGGTCTCCATCACACATTTTCATAAAAACACAGCAGGCTTGCCACCTTACTATCACTTCATATAGGCGTAGGCCTAATTAGTAACAGGAGGGGACCCCTGGTTTACCTCATCTCTCCTTGACGCCCCATCAGAGAATCATCTCTGGATCCCCTGTAGTATGGACCTCTGTAATCCTCCTGCACAGAAAAATACCAATAGCTATATTAGAGATAGAAAAGAGTAGAGCAGGTATTGACTTGGTAAAATACACAGTGGTATTCAGCTAAAACCTTTCGCATCACTAATCCGTTTTCATATGACACCAAAATTAGAAAATGACAAGTATTTGGGCCTAAATCTTAGATTGGCCATAATAAAGCTTCACCCACCTGTCGGGGTGGTGGGGAATTCCTCACTCGGATGCTTCCTATGGGTCTACTGTCACCATGGTATCCTCGAACACTTCCTGTGTGAATGCTGTCGCTACGGTATCCTCTGTGGTCATCATCATGGTAACTTCGAATGCCGCTATACTGATTGGTTTCATATTCAAATTCTCTGTCATAGTCTTTCTCCGGTCTTGTCACAGCAGTCCTCCTCTCAACAGCATTCATAACTCTCGGGTATGTTACCTAAAAAATAAGCATTACGACAATGATTAGTTCAATAAATAAAAAACAAGAGTGCAGGACGGTATCCAGATTTTCATACCGTTTCTGTACCATACCAGGGTATACGGTATTACCAGAATGTGCACACAAGGGGTGCCATCTCAACAATCCAGGAGGGGATTGAATATCTGCTGTAACCAATAAGCTTGATCTTGACATCTAGCCACTTAGCTAGCAAACCAAATGCATAGTTGGAGCCCTGAGTTGGATATAACTTATTTGACACAGATTTCTTATAGTTATTTTTCACTTATAGATATAAGCAGTGGCGTAGCACGTAACCCGCAGCAACCTCAAGGTGGGGGTGCCCCCAACCCCCAGAAAGAAAGAAAATATGTCTATTTTAAATGGTATTGAAAATCATACCGTCTGTATTTCGAAATACCCTGGTATATGGTATAAACTGCTATGCAAGAAATAACCTCGATAAATTGTACATCTCTTTGATAATTCCCTCAAGGATGGTCTAAGGCCTAATAACACTGAAGTGAAGACAATACATACGCCAAAAGTACTTTGTACAGTCACTTACCGCACTCTCTGAGAAGTGCTCGCCATAGGCCTCTCTGATTCTACTTTTCCTTCGCCTGGGCACTGCAAGGGACAACAAGCATACAATCACAGCCGACTGCGAGCTAGGGACAATAATGAACCCAAAAGGCCACAGACTCAAATTTGTTAATTATCCACTGCTTGTATGTATACAAGTAGCTGTTGTTTCACACAAGTGTGTTGTACATTAATGGGGCGTATGTCGGGAGTTCTTGGAAGTTCAGCGTTCCCGGCTGGAAAAGTGGAAAATGTTGTTACCCAAGTTGTGATGTTTCACTACTGACCTTTCACCTTTTCAACCAAAAGGTACATCTGAAAGGGCCAATACGCAGTTGAAACAATAACAAAACGTACACCCCACCACTGTTTAGATAAAAAGCTGGGAAATGTAACCACTCAAATTCATATAGACAGAGCTATGGATACAAGGTCTAACTGAAAATGATAGCCTCAAAACATGGTTTAAACTATACAGGGTTTTTGTTTACATTTATGATGTTTACAAACATTGGAGTAAAGCAAGCTTATGTTTTGGGTTCTGATTAGGTCTTCACAACCCACCTGTACCCGAATACCCGAGACCCGATCTAAATCATGTCTAAATCATGTCAGGGGTCTGGAACTGATCTGATAGGATAGTCACAGGTCTCAGGTGTGTGTAATTTGAACTGACTTGTCCGGAAGGACCCGTACAGATCCGAATGCGACTGCTTCAGTAGAGAGAGAAATTGTATCATTTATGCTGCTACTCTTGCTTTTCACAGGTGGTGCGTGTAGCTTGTTGTTGGCCAATCATACAGTCATAGAGCGATACACTACATGACCAAAAGTATGTGGATACCTGCTCGTCCAGCATCTCATTCCAAAATCATGGGCATTAATATTGAGTTGGTCCCCCCCTTTGCTGCTATAACAACCTCCACTCTTCTGGGAATGCTTTCCACTAGATGTTAGAACATTGCTGCAGGGACTTGCTTCCATTCAGCCACAAGAGCATTAGTGAAGTCGGGCACTGATGTTGGGCGATTAGGCCTGGCTCGCAGTCAGTGTTCCAATTCATCCCAAAGGTGTTCGATGGGATTGAGGTCAGGGCTCTGTGCAGGCCAGTCAAGTTCTTCCACACTGATCTCGACAAACCATTTATGTATGGACCTCGCTTTGTGCACGGGGGCATTGTCATGCTGAAACAGGAAAGGGCCTTCCCCAAACTGTTGCCACAAAGTTGGAAGCACAAAATCATCTAGAATGTCATTGTATGCTGTAGCGTTAAGGTTTCCCATCACTGCAACGAAGGGGCCTAGCCCGAACCATGAAAAACAACCCCAGATCATTATTCCTCCTCCACCAAACTTTACAGTTGGCACTATGCATTGGGGCAGGTAGCGTTCTCCTGGCAACCGCCAACCCCAGATTTGTCCGTTGGACTGCCAGATGGTGAAGCGTGATTCATCACTCCAGAGAACGTGTTTCCAATGCTCCAGAGTCCAATGGCGGCGGAGCTTTACACCACTCCAGCCGACACTTGGCATTGCACATGGTGATCTTACGCTTGTGTGCGGCTGCTCGGCCATGGAAACCCATTTCACGAAGCTCCTGACGAACAGTTATTGAGCTGATGTTGCTTCCAGAGACTCGGTAATCAGTGTTGCAACCGAGGACAGACGATTTTTAAGGGCTACACGCTTCAGCACTCGATGTTCCCGTTCTGTGAGCTTGTGTGGCCTATCCCTTTGCGGCTGCGCCGTTGTTGCTCCTAGACGTTTCCACTACACAATAACAGCACTTACAGTTGACCGGTGAGGGTAGGCAACAACACATCCGCCAGGCTGACCCTCAACACGGGGGGCCCCACAGGGATGCGTGCTTCATCCCCTCCTGTACTCCCTGTTCACTCAAGACCGCGTGGCCACGCTCAACTCCAACACCATCATTAAGTTTGCAGACGAAACAACAGTGGTAGGCCTGATCACCGTCGATGATGAGACAGCCTATAGGGAGGAAGTCAGAGACCAGGCAGTGTGGTGCCAGGATAACAACCTCTCCCACAACGTGCTCTTCTCTGTGTCACGGAGGCTCTCCGCACTGCTAAAGCTAACTCTCTCTCCTCTGCTCTTATCCTTCTAGACCTATCTGCTGCCTTTGATACTGTGAACCATCAGATCCTCCTCTCCACCCTCTCCGAGTTGGGCATCTCCGGCGCTGCTCACTCTTGGATTGCGTCCTACCTGACAGGTCACTCCTACCAGGTGGCGTGGCGAGAATCTGTCTCCGCACCACGTGCTCTCATCACTGGTGTCCCCCAGGGCTCAGTTCTAGGCCCTATCCTATTCTCTCTATACACAAAGTCACTTGGCTCTGTCATATCCTCACATGGTCTCTCCTATCATTGCTATGCAGACGACACACAATTCATTTTCTCCTTTCCCCCCCTTCTGATAACCAGGTGGCGAATCGCATCTCTGCATGTCTGGCAGACATTTCAGTGTGGATGTCGGATCACTACCTCAAGCTGAACCTCGGCAAGACGGAGCTGCTCTTCCTCCCGGGGAAGGACTGCCCGCTCCATGATCTCGCCATCACGGTTGACAACTCCATTGTGTCCTCCTCCTAGAGTGTAAAGAACCTTGGCGTGACCCTGGACAACACCCTGTCGTTCTCCGCTAACATCAAGGCAGTGACCCGATCCTGCAGGTTCATGCTCTACAACATTCGCAGGTACAACCCTACCTTACACAGAAAGCGGCACAGGTCCTAATCCAGGCACTTGTCATCTCCCGTCTGGATTACTGCAACTCGCTGTTGGCTGGGCTCCCTGCCTGTGCCATTAAACCCCTACAACTTATCCAGAACGCTGCAGCCCGTCTGGTGTTCAACCTTCCCAAGTTCTCTCATGTCACTCCGCTCCTCCGCACACTCCACTGGCTTCCAGTTGAAGCTCGCATCTACTACAAAACCATGGTGCTTGCCTACGGAGCTGTGAGGGGAACGGCACCTCCTTACCTTCAGGCTCTGATCAGACCCTACACCCAAACGAGGGCACTACGTTCATCCACCTCTGGCCTGCTAGCCCCCCTACCTCTACGGAAGCACAGTTCCCGCTCAGCCCAGTCAAAGCTATTCGCTGCTCTGGCACCCCAATGGTGGAACAAGCTCCCCCACCACGACAGGACAGCGGAGTCACTGACCACCTTCCGGAGACACTTGAAACCCTACCTCTTTAAGGAATACCTGGAATAGTATAACAGTAATCCTTCTACCCCTCCCCCCCATAAAAAAAAAGGGTGGTTGTCCCACTGGCTATCCTAAGTTGAATGCATCAATTTGTAAGTCACTCTGGATAAGAGCGTCTGCTAAATGACTTAAATTTAAAGTTAAATGTAAGACAAAGGAGCTGATCGTGGACTACAGGATAAGGAGGGCCGAGCACGCCCCCATTCACATCGATGGAGCTGTAGTGGAGCGGGTCGAGAGCTTCAAGTTCCTCGGTGTCCACATCACTAACAAACTATCATGGTCCAAACACACCAAGACAATCGTGAAGAGGGCACGACAACGCCTTGCCCCCCTCAGTTAATCAAATGGCTACCTGGACTATTGCATTGACCACCTTTTTTACCCTGCTACTACTCGCTGTTTATCATCTATGCATAGTCACTTTACCCCTACCTACATGTACATATTACCTCAATATTACATTTTACCTCGACTAACCTGTACCCCCGCACACATTGACTCGGTACCCCCTGTTTATAGCCTCGTTATTGTTATTTTATTGCTTTACTTTTTATTGTATTTTCTATTCATTTAAAAGGCTTAAGGGCTTGTTAAGTAAGCATTAAATAAAATTAGGTAAGATTTGATTTGAAGCTTTCCTTGCCAGTAGCTATAAGCTAGCTGATGTTACCCGTGAGGGCTTTAGGAAATAGTTTTTATAACTAACCCAAGATAGACCACAGCCTGTCATTTCCAATGGGAGCAAATTAAGCATGGTGGGCAGAACAAGCAAAGAGGTGCAGGGGGCGACATTAACGATGGCCCGCTGTCCTGAGGCCAGTAAAAACATGTTAGACCAGTGGATCTCATCAGTCACTGGCCCGACCGGGCAAGTAACTTCCCAGCGCATTTTGACGTTCCAGTTCGACATTTACCTGCTCTGTTGCAGTCTGTCATTGTAAGATATTCAAGAAAAGTCACAGAAAAGTCATCTATTTGTGTTTGAGCAATAGGATTGGCCATTCATTCAACCACTCCCCCAGCAACTCACTATATCGCCTAGACGCGTTAGCTAGTCTGGTAAGCTCGCTTTGCAGTGTTAGCTAGCCTGGTTTCGAAGTCTCGTTGGACCACATCACCGGTCAAATTAGAAGCACAAAATTCACATAGAAATGTAAGTTATAGATCTGTCATTTGTCATCATTGAAAGCAAGTCTAAGATGTGGTAGATATGTTCTATATGAGCTATTTCTGTTTCCTGTTCTCAGTTTTTGCATCTTTTACTTTTGGTTTTGTACACCAGCTTCAAACAGCTGAAAATACAATATTTTTGGTTATGGAAAATATATTTCACAGCGGTTTAGATGGTAGAATGATTATCTACACAATGACTGCTTGTTCTGTCATAAACTGAAATTATGCAAACTATTAGAATTTTAGCAACCAGGAAATGGTTTCTGCATATTGCACCTTTAAGCACGAGACTGAGGTCATGCTGAGGTATTATCAAGTCAGCTAAAATCTGGTTGAAGAATTGGTCCGACTTCAAATGCACTTAAACACAATCATGTCAGACTTACGACTTTCCAGTTTTCCACGAGCACATGCATGCCCCGTTTGACAGTAACTTTGTGCAGTTAGTACAGGCAGTGTGTGAACTAACGAAACGTCACTTATGTACTCTGGCAAAAAGAGAGAGATGGCAAATCAAACCATGAAAGTAGGTTTCAGTATAGCTGTCCCTTCATATTGTACACACCGATTGTCCAGTTACTGTAGTGGAGTTGTAGCTAGCTAACTTACTTATAGTTGTTGAAGGGCTCCTCAAGAGGGGGATGTGGTGTGGGACTGGGAGGATGTAAAACCTGCAAATATATAGCAATTGAATTGTCTATGCAGTATTTATACAAATGTCATCGATATTCAAAAATGGATGATTCATAATGTTGATGCATGAACATCGCAAGTCAATTGCAATGATGTCGCTTCAAACAATGTTGTATAGCTAGCTAACTTACTAGCTAACGTTAGCTAACAAACATATGCTAGCCACTGCTAGCTAGCTTGCACTGAAGCTGTTGTTGCTATGAAAAATGAACTTACCGACTGAAAGTGTTCTGTGTATTAGTTTTAAAGGTAGGCTTGCATTTTTTTTTGCGATAAAACAGTAGATATTATTTAACCTTTCTGCACTTGCAACTTTCGACAACAAACGCCACCAAAATTCTAACTCTTCGTCGTCGGTTTTTGATTGGTGGAATGCAGTATGTTACGATGAGTATCCCGCCACCTACCGTTCTGGAATGGTAACGTTTGGACCTTTGACTGCACTATATGATGCAACACAAGACCATTTATGCTATGTATGCAGGTATCATTTACATTTACATTTTAGTCATTTAGCAGACGCTCTTATCCAGAGCGACTTACAAGAGCAATTAGGGTTAAGTGCCTTGCTCAAGGGCACATTTACGTCATTTAGCAGACGCTCTTATCCAGAGCGACTCACAAATTGGTGCATTCACCCTATAGCCAGTGGGATAACCACTTTACAATTTTTTTTGGGGGGTGTCGTAGTAAATATATAATGTTATAGCTTGGTCTGACTAAAATCTTGTGCATGACCCATTTTGTGTTGGGCCTTTGTATTCAATACAATGGACAAAAGAGTCCTATCTTGTCAGCCTTGTCAGCAGGTGGCTAAGGACAACACCCACGCCATAGGTCTCTCAGTTCTTCCAACTCACGAGTTCTTGCTCTGAGGACACACACACACACCCACACACACACACACACACACACACACACACACACACATCATCACTGATAAACACACACACACACACACACACACACACACACACATCATCACTGATAACACACACACACACACACACACACACACATCATCACTGTTAAACACACACACACACACACACAAAAATCCCCTTCTCTTAGGCTGAACATCTGAAGACAGAGAACCCGACTCAGAGCCAATGCAACAGTGATACTAACCTGGAGGGGACCTCGCCCAACTCATCAGGACCAATCAGAAGATCAGAACTACTAGATTCAACCTACTTCATTTTATTGTATAAAATGTCAGCACACAATGTTTCGGGGCTCTCTCAGATATCTCCCTACGAGATTGACGAACGGGTCCGTGCACGCGATTCCAGATATCTTTACCTCTGAATAAACTGCCTTTATTATACCATTATCCACCTTGTCCAAAAGTCTCTACTTGGTCTCAGTTCTCCAGTAAACTTGTTTTATCAACAGGGGGGGTATCACATACACATCCATAAGTGTTCTTATATTCTAAAATGGAATCAGATATACTTAGGAAAAGGCTAAGGGGGAATTCTGCCTCACATTTCCATGAGAACGTATATGTACCTGCCTTATGTGCAAATTCACTGCATCTAGATGCAAAATACATAATGTGGAACAATGTTATGACAGAAAACTAGGTGGAAGGTCCTTCATGATATGAATGTATATCCTATTCATCTCAATGGTATTCTCCTCCACTGTCCTCTATGCTCCTGCGTGTGCCTTGAGAGTGATTGGATAGACTTTACCACGTGATCATCATCCCTCCACTCGACTGAAGTTATCACGACAACTGAGAGAGCGGCTTTGGTAATTTCCCCGTCAAATTAACCCATATTGAGCTCAAACAATATATAGGTTTTATACGATGGGAGACAAGAAGAGCCCCACAAGGTAAAAAAAAAAAATACATATTTATCTTGAAAAATTGCCTAAAAATGTGATGAACACTTGTAAACAGAGTGCGCGACCAATGGATGCGTAGCCCCGCTAGCTAGCTACATTGTAGCTTCATGGCGGCGGGTTGGCTCTTTTATGGGCGAATCTGATCATACGGCTCAAATAAGAGTAGTTTGTGTTGTTGTTTTTTTATTTAAAAAAAAGTATTCACACATTCATGAATATGTTAGCTTAAATGGCTATACTGACAGTGTTGGGCCCCATCTCTGTGTGCGTGTTTTCTTTGAAGGCCGAAGCGGCAACCCAAGCCCTCTTCCGACGATGGATACTGGGACTGTAGCGTCTGTACGTTCAGGAACACCGCCGAAGCTTTCAAGTGCATGATGTGCGATGTCAGAAAGGGAACGTCAACACGGTAAGAAAATCGAAGAAATGTTGTCCTGGCAGTTTCAGACTATTGATACAGGCAGTGATTACTATGAGCTGTAACTGTATCAAGCAGGCTGCTGAACCTACAACAGAGGACTCCTAAATCATTGTAATATGGTAGCCCAAATTCAAGCGGTTAGTTTGAATGAGACACTTCTAATTTGGGGACATTATTTGCCAGATTCTATGGTCCAGTTAGTCTGGCAAATTGTCAATTATATACACTACCAGTCAAAAGTTTGGACACACTTACTTATTCAAGGGTTTTTCTTTATTTTTACATTGTAGAATAATAGTGATGACATCAAAACTATGAAATAACACATGGAATCATGTAGTAACCAAAAAAGTGTTAAACAAATCAAAATATATTTTATATCTGAGATACTTCAATAGCCACCATTTGCCTTGATGAAAGCATTGCACACTCTTGGCATTCTCTCAACCAGCTTCATGAGGTAGTCACCTGGAATGCATTTCAATTAACAGGTGTGCCTTCTTAAAAGTTAATTTGTGAAATGTATTTCCTTCTTAATGCGTTTGTTGAGCCAATCAGTTGTGACAAGGTAGGGGGGGTATACAGAAGATAGCCCTAGTTGGTAAAAGACCAAGTCCATATTATGGCAAGAACAGCTCAAATAAGCAAAGCGAAACGACAGTCCATCATTACTTTAAAACATGTAGGTCAGTCAATACAGAACATTAAGAACTTTGAAAGTTTTCTTGAAAGTTTCTTGAAGTGCAGTCGCAAAAACCATCAAGCTCTATGATGAAACTGGCTCTCATGAGGAACGCCACAGGAATGGAAGACCCAGAGTTACCTCTGCTGCAGAGGATAAGTTCATTAGAGTTACCAGCCTCGGAAATTGCAGCCCAAATAAATGCTTCACAGAGTTCAAGTCACAGACACATCTCAACTTCAACTGTTCAGAGGGGACTGTGTGAATCAGGCCTTCATGGTCGAATTGCTGTAAAGAAACCACTACTAAAGAACACCAATAATAAGAAGAGACCTGCTTGGGACAAGAAACACGAGCAATGGACATTAGACCGGTGGAAATGTGTCCTTTGGTCTGGAGTCCAAATTGGAGATTTTTGGTTCTAACCGTCGTGTCTTTGTGAGACGCGGTGTGGGTGAACGGATGATCTCCGCATGTTCCCACCGTAAAGCATGGAGAAGGAGGTGTTATTTTTACGTTTACATCATTTAGCAGACGCTCTTATCCAGAGCGACTTACAGTTAGTGAGTGCATACATTTTTTTATACTGGCCCCCTGTGGGAATCGAACCCACAATCCTGGCGTTGCAAGTGCCATGCTCTACCAACTGAGCTACAGGAGTGTTGTGGTGTGGGGGTGCTTTGCTGGGGACACTGTCTGTGATTTATTTAGAATTCAAGGCACATTTAACCAGCATGGCTACCACAGCATTCTGCAGCGATACGCCATCCCATCTGGTTTGGGCTTAGAGGGACTATCATTTGTTTTTCAACAGGACAATGACCCAACACACCTCCAGGCTGTGTAAGGGCTATTTGACCAAGAAGGAGAGTGATGGAGTGCTGCATCAGATGACCTGGCCTCCACTGTATATATTTTTTCAATAAAGGAATAAAACTAACATTTCATTTTTGGGGTGCAGAATTGATCAGGAACATTTTCCAGGGAAAGTAGTCAGTTGTCAACAGGTCAGGTGTGTGCAGTACTGGACCTCGTAAGATGTTGTTCCTGTGCAGTATTTGTCCGTGTGCAGTATTTGTCAGTGTGCAGTGTGTTTCCTCATGGTAGTCTACCTTACCATACAATACATCATACAATAGGAATCTAGCAAAAGAGGACCCCTGTATATTTTCAGTGTGCATAAATATGCAGTGAATAATGCATATATGTACAAATACAATTGTATTTGTCACACGCCGAATACAACGGATGTAGACTTTACCAAGTAATACTTGCTTATAAGCCCTTCCCAACGATGCAGTTAAAAATAAGAAAACATGAAAAATACAATTAGTAACACAGAATAAAATACACAAGAAGAAAGCTATATACAGGGAGTACCAGTACCATATCACTGTGCAGGGTAGCCAGCAGATTCCGTTACGCTTGTTTACGCTGAGCTGCACTGGGGTTGGAACGCAATCATGGTTACATTAAGACACCGTGGAGCCGGCGCGAGATATGGGTCTGAAAACGTAGCTCAATGCAAGGATGGGATATGCCACTGTACTCCAAGTGTTACCTTTTTCCACACTGATACATCGAAGATTGAAATACTGCTAGTTTTCCGGGAAAACTGCCCTTTTCGTCCCCATACTAGCTAGCAGTAGCCACAGCAGCAATTATGGATTGGCGTGTCGTGTTGAACAACAAAAGAGCAGATTGTCTGACACTACCATTGCTGCGGCGTAAACAAGCGTAACGGTATGGTCGGAATCTGCTGGCTATGTGCAGGTGTACAAGGTAGATATCTACATAAAGGCAGGGTAAATAATAATATTATAATCACACTTGTTTCTGTTTTTTAGGAAGCCTCGCCCTGTCTCCCAACTGGTCGCCCAGCAAGTCACTCCACAGTTTGCTTCACCCACACAACCCAAAAAAGAGAAGAAGGAGAAATCGGAGAAAGAGAAGAGTGAAAAGGAACCAACACTGAAAAAGAACAGCCACAAGAAGATGAGGTAAGGAGGAACCTATGTTTGAACAACATATTCACAAAGATACTATAAATGTTGAAGAATATTTCAATCGTCTTATTTTAGTGCGATGATTTACATGATTATTACATTTTATCAAAATCATTTACAGGTTTCAATCGACCCCTCCCTGTTAGTACCCTAACTAGCCATACTATTGACTCCTCCTCCTCTTAGTACCCTAACTAGCCATACTATTGACTCCTCCTCCTCCTCTTAGTACCCTAACTAGCCATACTATTGACTCCTCCTCCTCCTCTTAGTACCCTAACTAGCCATACTATTGACTCCTCCTCCTCTTAGTACCCTAACTAGCCATACTATTGACGACTCCTCCTCCTCTTAGTACCCTAACTAGCCATACTATTGACGACTCCTCCTCCTCTTAGTACCCTAACTAGCCATACTATTGACTCCTCCTCTTAGTACCCTAACTAGCCATACTATTGACTCCTCCTCCTCCGCTTAGTACCCTAACTAGCCATACTATTGACGACGACTCCTCCTCTTAGTACCCTAACTAGCCATACTATTGACTCCTTCTCCAGTTCTTCTAATGACCATATATCCATCTATACCCCTCTCTGTCTCTGTTACCCTCCCAGGCCCAGGTTAAAAAACGTGGACCGGAGCAGTGCCCAGCACCTGGAGGTTACGGTGGGCGACCTGACGGTCATAATCACAGACTTTAAGGAGAAAACCAAGCCCGCCTCCACTCCTTCCAGTGCTGCCTCGGCAGACCAGCACAGCCAGAGCGGCAACACTAGTTCTGACAACACTGAAAGGGGGGTGTCACGGTCGTCCTCACCTCGGGGGGAGGGCTCGTTGGTTAACGGAGAGACTCACTAACCCTCCTCCCTCCCCCATTTCCTCCCTCCTCACCCAACTTAGTCTCATGGAACAAGACAAGTGTGTCTCTGAATATTGCATACAAATCTGGCATGCAAGATTACACCCAACGCTACAACCCCATGTCTGGTACCCCTCACCCCAACCCAATATCTCAACAAACTTTTGCCTAAGTACCACCAGTTCAAATTGGGTTGGATACTACACTGCATTCCCCTGATGAGCAAGTATAATGACTGGGCTTTTGGTGCTGGGAGGACGCTGTGTATCATCAACGTATTGGTTTCAGCCAAGATCTGGGTTGTGTTCAGTGGGCACCAAACAGAAGAAAATGGATGGAAACTAGAACGGGGGGGATACCTGGACCTGTCCAATAAGAAACGCTCATATTCGTTTTCTTTTGCACAACGTTTTAAAACATTTTGTTATGTTGTGCCCTAATGAAAACAACCTTGGCCTGAGTGAACTGAGCTGAAGTTGTAACGGTCTTGATGGTGTTGGTCCTCTGTAGCTCAGTTGGTAGAGCATGGCACTTGCAAGGCCAGGATACCGCCCATACGTAAAAATGTATGCACGCATGACTGTAAGTCGCTTAGGATAAAAGCGTCTGCTAAATGGCATATATTATTATATATATATATTATATATTAGTGTTGAATGAACCCTGGATGCACAGCTGAATAATACCATGTGATGTACTTACAACACCTCAGTGTTATAGTGTCATCACTCATCAGTGGTTGGCTTCTATCTCTCTCAACAATGTGGACGATTGCAGAGTAAACAAGTGTTTTAGCTACAGAGGAATACGAATATGCATTATGAGTAGGGTTGCAAAATTCCGCTAACTTTCCCAAAATCCACAGGTTTTCCACTAATCACGGTTGTAACATTCCCGGAATCAAGAGGGAATGAGTAGGAAATTCAGGATTACTGCAACCGAGATTTCCGGAAAACCTGGGAATTTTGGGGAAATTACCAGAATTTTGCAACAACCCTAATTATGAGGTGAAATATGAAGCAAGTGGTCTACCTCTTGATTGTAAAAGATGAATTTTGTTAGCAGCAGATAGTTTGCACCTGCTGGCATATGGTGTGCATTGATTCATGAGAAGATATTGGTCCAATTTCCCAGACACAGATTAAGCTTAATCCTGGACTAAAAATCACTTTTAATGGAGTATCTTCATTGAACATGCTTCTTAGTCCAAGGCTAAGCTTAATTTGTGTCGCGGAAACTGTCCCATTGTTTTATAAAGCATTATTTCAGCTAACATTTTACTGCACATGTTACTGAAATCATATCACTGTTTTATGTTACTGGTTATAGCCAGCCATGTTGTATGTACGTCAATGAGAATCTCAATTATTGTGTTACAGTCTAATAATAATGTTTGAGTAAAAATTATGAAACTATTGTTAAGGAAGTTAGCTTCTCTTCCAGAATTTTGTAGTCAAGCATGTTGTCATCAACAGTTGATATTGTAAAATATTATGAAAAACAATTAAATTGATAGATTTATCAGTCAGACTGAGTATCCTCAATTCTTGTTCAGAGTGAGCCTCGCAAGCCGCCTGATCTCTCGACCTTACATGAATGGTTAGCTACCACAGAATGATAGCGCAAGGATAATCAGTCTGGTAATTACGAGGCTATTGCAGATGGGTCCTCACCATATCCTTCTATGCTCCTCACACAGGAGATTGTCATTTGGGAAATGCATTGACAGCAGTCATTTTTGTATAACCTATCTACAAAAAGGATCTAAAATTTAACCTTTGCGTAATACCCTAATCAAATCAAAATGTGTCACATGCGCCGAATACAACAGGTAACAAGAAAATGAACAGTTGCAACGCTTAAACCACCCCAAAAAATTCACAAGAAACTAGCTCCCTGGTATACACTTGTGAAGGTGGTAAATTACCTTTTAATGGCGTCAGACCAAGGCTCTGTGTCTGTCCTCATGCTCCTAGACCTCTGTAACGCTTTCGACACCATCATTAAGGACACTTGCTCTGACATAGACTGACCAGGTAAATCCAGGTGAAAGCTACGATCCCTTTTTGATGTCACTTGTTAAATCCACTTCAATCAGTTTAGATGAAAGGGAGGAGACAGTTTAAAAAAAAAAGATTTTTAAGCATTGAGACATGGATTGTGTGTGTGCCATTCAGAGTGTGAATGGGCAAGACAAAATATTTAAGTGCCTTTGAACGGGGTATGGTAGTAGGTGCACCGGTTTGTGTAAAAAACTGCAACGCTGCTGGGTTTTTCATGCTCAACAGTTTCCCGTGTGTATCAAGAATGGTCCACCACCCAAAGGACATCCAGCCAACTTGACACAACTGTGGGAAGCATTGTAGTCAACGTGGGCCAGCATCCCTGTGGAACGCTTTCAACACCTTGTAGAGTCCATGCCACGACGAATTGAGGATGTTCTGAAGGGGTTCCTAATGTTTGATATACTCAGTGTATACTACCTCTTGGTGATGTCATTCGGAAACACAATGTCAACTTTCACTGCTATGCAGACAACACACAGCTATACATTTCGATGAAACATGGCGAAGCCCCAAAATTGCCTACCCAGAAGCCTGTGTTTCTGACATAAGGAAGTGGATGGCGGCAAAAGTTTACTTTTAAACTTAGACAAAACAGAGATGCTAGTTCTAGGTCCCAAGAAACAAATCTGCTGTTGGATCTGACAATGAATCTCGATGGTTGTGCAGTCTTCTAAAATAAAACTCTGAATGACCTCTGCGTTACTCTGGACCCTGATCTCTCTTTTGACAAACATATAAGGTAGGTTGAGTCACTGACATGATCTTCCTGTCTGCTTTTGCACCCCCTCGGGCTTGTGCGGTGGGGAGATCTTCGTGGGCTATACTCGGCCTTGTCTCAGGGTAGTAAGTTAGTGGTCTGTTGATATCCCTTTGGTGGTGTGGGGGCTGTGCTTTGGCAAAGTGGGTGCGGTTATATCTTGCCTAGTTGGCCCTGTCCGAGGGTAACTTTGGACGGGGCCACAGTGTCCCCCGATCCCGCGTCGCAGTCTCCAGTATCTATGCTGCAATAGTCTATGTGCCGGGGGGTCTACGGTCAGTCTGTTCTATCTCATGTGAATCTCCTGTCTTATCTGGTGTCCTGTGTGATCTTATGTATGCTCCCTCTAATTTTCCCATCTCTCTCTCTCTCCCCTTCCGGAGGACCTGAGCCCTAGGACCACGCCTCAGGATTACCTGGCCTGACGACTCTTGGTTGTCCCCGTCCGGAGTCCACCTGGTCGTGCTGCTGATCTAGTTTCTGCTGATCTGCCTGCTATGGAACCCTGACCTGTTCACCGGACGTGCTACCTGCTTTTTCAACCCTCCCGCTCCCTCTCTCTCTACCGCACCTGCTGTCTTGACCTCTGAACCCTCAAACTTTTACAGATGCACAACTGAGAGCATCCTGTCGGGCTGTATCACCGCCTGGTACGGCAACTGCACCGCCTGCAAGGCTCTCCAGAGGGTGGTGCGGTCTGCCCAACGCATTACCGGGGGCAAACTAACCGCCCTCCAGGACACCTACAGCACCTGATGTCACAGGAAGGCCAAAAAGATCATCAAACACCCGAGCCACGGCCTGTTCACCCCGCTACTATCCAGAAGGCGAGGTCAGTACAGGTGCATCAAAGCAGGGACTGAGAGACTGAAAAACAGCTTCTATCTCAAGGCCATCAGACTGTTAAACAGCCATCACTAGCTGCTGTCTTAGACATAGACTAGAAATCACTGGCCACTATGAGAAATGGAACACTAGCCACTTTACATTTTATTCATTTAGCAGATGCTCTTATCCAGAGTGACTTACAGGAGCAATTAGGGTTAAGTGCCTTGCTCAAGGGCACATCGACAGATTTTTCACCTAGTCGGCTCGGGGATTAGAACCAACAACCTTTAGGTTACTGGCACAACGCTCTTAACCACTAAGCTACCTGCCGCCCCACTTAATAATGTTTACATATCTTGCATTACTCATCTCATACTATTCTACTGTATCTTAGTCCAATGCCGCTCTGACATCGCTCGTCCATATATGTATATATGTATTCTTAATTAATTCCTTAGATTTGTGTGTATTGGGTATATGTTGTGAAATTGTTAGATATTACTGCACTGTCGGAGCTAGAAGCACAAGCATTTCGCTACACCCTCAATAACATCTGCTAAACACCTGTATGTGACCAATACAATTTGATTTGATTTGATTTGATTGCTCGGCTATGAAAAGCCAACTGACATTTACTCCTGAGGTGCTGACCTGTTGCACCCTCTATAACTAATGTGATTATTGTTTGACCCTGCTGGTCATCAATGAATGTTTGAACATCTTGAAGAACGATCTGGCCTTAATGGCCATGTACTCTTATAATCTCCACCCAGAACAGCCCTCAGAGCCTGGTTCCTCTCTAGGTTTATTCCTAGGTTCCTGCTTTTCTAGGGAGTTTTTCCTAGCCACCATGCTTCTACATCTGCATTGCTTGCTCTTTGGGGTTTTAGGCTGGGTTTCTGTATAAGCACTTAGTGACAATTGCTGATGTAAAAAGGGCTTTATAAATACATTTGATTTATAGATTGATTGAACAAGTATCTGCTGAGTCTTGATAACTTGACATGCTTGGGAATTTTATACAGTATGTCTTTATTTTAGTTCATGCATGTCAGAAACATTCGTGTAGGCCTACACAGGTATACATGTGGTGGTATTGCAGATGTTTGTACGACTAATATTTCCTAGCTAATTACTAAGGTATTTTGTAGGAAGCTATTTTATCATAGTGGAAATTGTCCCACAAGTCAAAGTGTGCGTTCCAGACATCCTAATACACATAGGTGAATCTCAGGAACCTGAAATGATCTTATATAATGTAAGCAGAATTATGTGCATATGGAACGTACCCAAATCTTCCTGTCGTCATGCTTCTTTCTTTGGTTTTTGGTTTCTTGACACAAGGTGGGGCTCAAGGTTGGTGTAAACACATTAGCCAGCTAGCCAATTTAGCTCCATATCTGAAATAATGTTTCGGTAGTAAGTACACTTTTTATTCACAAAATGCGATGTTATCTTCATGCAGTTCTTCTGTGCATGGTTTTTGCTGTCTTGTCGGTGCTGTATGTATTTAGTCAACTACCGGTAGCATCGTCTTTGGAGTCGCAAGACGAAGACGGATTGACCGAAAGAACTAAGAAATCCAATAGCAGGCAACTACAAGACACCGGGCACGTCAGGAAAGGTAGAGGAGTGTCTGCCCTTTTTGACCAGAAAGAACATGAGAGGTAAAATAACATTTGATTACTAGCTAGCTAGGTAACTTGGCTACAGAAGTCAGCTAGCTGAAATGGTAAAGGTAGCTAGCCACCACAACTAAACTAGAAGTAGGATAACTAGCTAGCTAGCTAGCCAGTTAATCTATTGACCTTCCTGATAACTTTACCCTGTAGGATGACAATGTACAACTTCACCAAGGCCAAAGTCATAATAATGGGGAGACATGTTGATAATCATTGTCTGCTATAGCTAAATCATTAGTAACATTGAAACTTTTGTTGTTTTCATAGCATCTTATCTATCAGATATTTCCTGCCTAGTAATAAACGATGAGGAAATATAGCTTCCTAGCTAGCTATTTCTACACCTATTAGAGAAACTCAAGCATTTGCTAGATAACCAGGTAGCTTTCTAATCTAGGCCTACCCCTATCAGATTCAAGCATCCAAAAAGCATTTTTTCCTCTTGTTGTTCTGTCAGGTGTAGTGCATTGTCAGTGTCTTACTGGAATCCCTATTGGAGACTGCCACCTGATGTTTGTGGAATGAACTGCTTATCGGAACCATCTCCTAGGTAGGCTTGGTTGGGGCAACCCCTTGAAAAGCAGACAGTGGGCACTACCAATTTTGCAACATGTAGCATTGTGCTAGCCTGGTCTCCGTATGGCAACTTTTGTGATCAACGGCGTGACAGTGACCAAAGGAGTTGGCAAGACAACACAAACAGATCTACTACCAGGCTATAGAAGTAGGCATACCACCTAACACTTTTCTTTAATCTTTCTAGCTCATAGTTTTTGGATCCAGTTTGTATTCCTCATAGGGGTTATGTGTTCAGTGTTCTCTCATCAACAACACCGTCCACACAACCCACACACACACACTCAAGGACAGAGTGTGTGGAGACTCCCTCCTGACCCTGCTAAAAATGTTGCAGTCCTCATTACCGCCCTCTCTTCTTACAAATCTCTGCCCGGGCCCGGCTTCATCCATATTCCCCACCAGCCAATGATTGCTTACACCAATCCAATGCTTTTAAATCCATGACTGGGAGTGTGCACGTGTTACCCATCTCCCCACGATGCTGCTTTAGTCGCTTAGCGAGACCCTCACTTTCCTTATCTCTTACTAGCTATCTCGGGGAGAAGCCAGCCTCAGCCAGCATCAAGCAGACCAGTCGTGATGAATGGATACAACTGGCTGTGGTGGCCTGTGGCCCCAGACTAGAGGAGACCCTCACCATGCTGAAGTCTGCCCTTCTCTTCAGCACTAAACCACTGCACTTCCACATCTACACCGAGGATCACCTACATATCAGCTTCAGAGAGGCTGTAAGTATTATTATTATTATTATTATTATTATTATTATTAAGTATGGAGAACAGGAATCAATGGCAGAATGAATGTTGGTAGTGTGGTCTAGCTAGCCTGATTCCATATGTTTGTGCTGTGTAGCCAGCTCAGTTGTTGAGTTGGCAGGGGGATGGAATTAGGACGAAAGAAGCTGCCGATCTACACTGAACAAAAATATAAACGCAACATGTAAAGTGTTGGTTCCATGTTTCATGTGCTGAAATAAAAGATCCCAGACATTTTCCATGCACCAAAAGGTTATTTCTCTCAAATTGTATGCACAAATTTGTTTACATCCCTGTTAGTGAGCATTTCTCCTTTGCCGAGATAATCCATCCACTTGACAGGTGTGGCATATCAAGAAGCTGATTAAACAGCATGATCATTACACAGGTGCACCTTGTGGCCACTCTAAAATGTGCAGTTTTGTCACTAAACAATGCCACAGATGTCTCAAGTTTTGAGGGAGCGTGCAAATGGCATGCTGACGTCAGGAATGTCCACCAGAGCTGTTGCCAGATAATTTAATGTTCATTTCTCTACCATAAGCTGCCTCCAACATCGTTGTAGAGAATTTGGCAGTACGTCCAACCGGTCTCACAACCGCAAACCACGTGTATGGCGTTGTGTGGGTGAGCGGTTTGCTAATGTCAACCTTGTGAACAGAGTGCCCCATGGTGGCGGTGGGGTAATGGTATGGGCAGGCATAAGCTACGGACAACGAGCACAATGCATTTTATTGATGGCAATTTTAATACACAAAAGTACCTTGACGAGATCCTGAGGCCCATAAAATAAAAAATAAACTATCTGTGACCAACCGATCCATAGATTAGGGCCTAATGAATTTATTTCAATTGACTGATTTCCTCATATGAACTGTAACTCAGTAAAATCAATGATATTGTTGCATGTTGCGTTTATATTCTTGTTCCGTATAAATCAGACATAACTTGTTAACTAAACCTGTGTGTCAAAGCAAACCTGTTCACCTGTGTGCCCTTTTAAAACTCACCAATGTGCTCTGTGTATTTCCCATGAAGCTGGACTGGTGGCCCAGTGTGTTCCAGACAAGGTTTAACTACACCACGTACCCCATCACCTTCCCCAGTGACAACGCCAAGGAGTGGAAGAAACTCTTCAAACCATGTGCTTCCCAGAGACTCTTCCTACCGGTGAATGAACACGCACACACAGAGGGCATGATGAACTTGGCTATGCATATGAAGGATTGTTTAGTGTTCACCTTGCTGAGAACTGACACCTCTATCCTCAAGACTACCTATCGACCTTGTTGGACATTCTGACCCTCAAAACTGACCTCTAGTCTATGTTCACTAGCTGATCCTAAAATAAGTAGTGGGGCTGCTGTACGTGGATGAAGACATCCTGTCCTTCCTCTCACTCTCTCTGTCCCTCTTTAACTGATCCTAAAGGACGTGGACTCTCTGCTCTACGTGGACAAAGAGATCCTGACTCTGACCTCAAACCTCTCTCTGTCCCTCCTCTTTAGCTGATCCTAAAGGACGTGGACTCTCCGCTGTACGTGGACAAAGAGATCCTGACTCTGACCTCAAACCTCTCTCTGTCCCTCCTCTTTAGCTGATCCTAAAGGACGTGGACTCTCTGCTCTATGTGGACACAGACATCTTGTTCCTTCAACCTGTAGAGGAGATCTGGTCCATTCTGAGTCTCTTCAACTCTACCCAGCTAGCAGCCATGGCCCCGGAGCACGAAGACCCACGTATGGCTTGGTACAACCGCTTCGCCCGGCACCCCTACTATGGCAGGACAGGGGTGAACTCTGGGGTCATGCTCATGAACATGACCAGGATTAGAGAGAAATACTTTAAGGTAAGTGTGTGTGTGTCAATGCTTGATGGGAGGTGGGAAATGAAAGGTGAAGAGAATGTTTTATTGTCTTATTAGAGAAAGAGAGAACTGTCCAGATCTCTTGAAGCTTCTCAGCTTGTTTTTAGCACCTTCTGTTAGGTGCTCAATGTGTAATGTTGGCCAAGGCATTTTCTGTAAGTCTCTTGCACCACCAGCTTTGCCCAGAGGAGTTCACTGTTGCCATTATTTTGCGTGGCTCACAAACTGTCTCACCAGCAATGTTCCCTCAAAAAAATGTCAGGTCTGCTGAGCACAGAACTTGATCATTGTGAAAATTCTGTGCAACTTCCGGCGCGCGTTTACTGTGAACACTGAGGCTGCACCTGCTTAACAGTGGCCAGGTAGGCTACTGTGGCTATTTGACCATAATGTAGGCCTACCAGAGTGGCCTACAATCAAAAACAATGGAGAGAATTGCATCCCATAACATTTTAACATGGAAATAGCTGTTCTATCATTCACCACACATTGGCTGCTACTTTAGGCTGTTCTATGTAGACCTACATTCCATGAGACTTTAAAAAACATGCAGGGCTTGACAGTAACCTGTTTATTCACTTGCCCTTCAGACAAGGAGGTGACTGAAAATGTTGTGTTTGATGCAAGAAACCACTTTACAAAATAAAATGCATTATTATCCCCATTATTACAGAGAATCAGACATATTATGCTACCCTCTGCCTATTGGCTACTTGGCTTATTCAAGCCTGTCTCAAAATACAACACTGCCCCTTTAACACCAAAAAAAAGCTCTTTACCTGACTCACTTTTCAAAGATGGCTAGAAATGCACACGTTTTGTGCTCTTGTTGGAAGCAGCTTAGAGGGAACATTGCTCACCAGCTGTGTACTGTGGAATGAACATGTTGGCATGCGTCAATCACAGAAAAGATGAAACAATGTGTTGATTGTTTGGTGTCAGTCAGGAGTTTGGTGTCAATAGTTTGGCAGTTTCCCATCTATATTGTGTCATCACTCATGTAAGAATGAAGGTGGTGCACACTGTCACTGAACATTTTGTTTCTGTCGCTACTACGACTTGTTGTTACAGAATGACATGACGTCGGTCCACCTCCAATGGGAAGAGCTGCTGATGCCTCTGCTGCAGAAGTATAAACTGAACATCACATGGGGAGACCAGGACCTGCTCAACATCATCTTCCATTATAACCCAGGTGAGACTAGCCCTCATTAGGTCACTGTTTTTAAAGGTCCCGCACAGTCATCCTATTTCCCAAGTAAAAATTGCCCTTGAATGACCAAAACATCCCCCATAATATTTGTTTGCTATTAAAATGCTCAGACTTGAATAAATTGTAGGTTTCTCTCATCTCTAACTATCAGGAAGCCTGAAAGAACAGGCTCAGTGGGCTTATATTCATGAGCTCGCCTTGATTGACAGCTCTTTGAAACGCCTTTGTGGTCGTTGCCAGGTGACAATGGGCCACGTCATTCTGCTCACCATGTGCTCACTGCTCATTGTTTGTCTGTATTGTAATTGTTTTTAATAACCTGGCCCGGATGGTAGTTGCAGCTGTGTCACTGCCAGGCACAGTTCAGTGAGAACTACAACTCTCACTCTGTGGAAACACACACACAATAGGTTTTATGGACTTTCCACACACAATAGGTTTTATGGACTTACAGCAGGACTATATTTGTACGTACTATAGTGCAGACCAACATTTAACAGAGCAAGATATCTACACTGAGCAAAAATATAAACGCACCATGCAGCAATTTCAAAGATTTTACTTAGTTACAGTTCATATAAGGAAATCAGTCAATTGAAATAAATTCATTAGGCCCTAATCTATGGATTTCACATGACTGTGAATACAGATATGCATCTGTTGGTCACAGAAACCTTTAAAAAAAAAAAAAAGTAGGAGCGTGGATCAGAAAACCAGTCGGTTTCTGGTGTGACCACCATTTGCCTAATGCAGCGCGAAACATCTCCTTCGCATTGTTGGTCAGGCTGTTGATTGTGGAATGTTGTCCCTCTCCTCTTCAATGGCTGTGCGAAGTTGCTGGATATTGGCGGGAACTGGAACACACTGTCGTACACGTCGATCCATAGCATCCCAAGCATGCTCAATGGGTGACATGTCTGGTGAGTATGCAGGCCATGGAAGAACTGGGACATTTTCAGCTTCCAAGAATTGTACAGATCCTCGCGACATGGGGGCTGTGCATTATCTCGCTGGAACATGAAGTGATGGCGGCGGATGAGTGGCACGACAATGGGCCTCAGGATCTCGTCACGGTATCTCTGTGCATTCAAATTGCCATCGATAAAATGCAATTGTGTTCGTTGTCCGTAGCGTATGCCTGCTCATACCATAACCCCACCGCCACCATGGGGCACTCTGCTCATAACGTTGACATCAACAAACTGCTCGCCCACACGTACAGTTGAAACTGGGATTCATCTGTGAAGAGCACACTTCTCCAGCGTGCCAGTGGCCATTGAAGGTGAGCATTTGCCCACTGAAGTCAGTCACGACGCCGAACTGCAGTCAGGTCAAGACCCTGGTGAGGACGACGAGCATGCAAATGAGCTTCCCTGAGACGGTTTCTGACAGTTTGTGCAGAAATTATTCGGTTGTGCAAACCCACAGTTTCATCCGCTGTCCAGGTGTCTGGTCTCAGATGATCCCTCAGGTGAAGAAGCCGGATGTGGAGGTCCTGGGCTGTCGTGGTTACACGTGGTCTGCGGTTGTGAGGCCGGTTGGACGTACTGTCAAATTCTCTAAAATGAAGTTGGAGACTGCTTATGGTAGAGAAATTAACATTAAATTATCTGGCAACAGCTCTGGTCGACATTCTTGCAGTCAGCATGTCAATTGTATGCTCCCTCAAAACTTTAGGCATCTGTGGCATTGTGTTGTGTGCCAAAACTGCACATTTTAGAGTGGCCTTTTATTGTCCCCAGCACAAGTTGCACCTGTGTAATGATCATGCTGTTTAATCAGCTTCTTGATATGACACCTGTCAGGTGGATGGATTATCTTGGCAAAGGAGAAATGCTCACTACCAGGGATGTAAACAAATTTGTGCCCAAAATTTCATCGAAATAAGCTTTTTGTGTGTATAGAACATTTCTGGAATATTTTATTTCATATCAAATTGTATTTGCCAAATACAACAGGTGGTATACATTACAGTGAAATGCTTACTTACAAGCCCTTAACCAACAATGCAGTTTTTAAGAAAAGAAAAAGTGTTAAGTAAAAAATAATAATAATTAAAGAAACTCATGAAACATGGTACCAACACTTTGTTGCGTTTATATTTTTGTTCAGTGTAAAAATGGAGAGAGAACCTTAATTTACTATCCATGAGATAAACTTGATCGTTTTTACAGGTATTGAAGCTATCCACCTAATTTTCGAATGCTTTTAAAACACAGAAGCCAAATGCTAAAACTATGGATGCAACTTCCTCTGCGCTCGTGAATGTTTCTGTTAGCTGATCCATCATATGACTGTCCTGCTAATGTGCCTGGACCTTGTAGACTAAACTGCTGAGAAGACCCACAATAACTGATCCAAATGGTTGCCCAATCAGGCAACCTAGATGCACTTATTTCGAAATTAATATGCATTCAAAACGCCAGGCTTTTGAGCGTTATTCAAATTACATAGGCTATACACTGCAGTTTACAGCCTAGTTTTCTACTTGAAAACAACAACATTCTTCATTACATTGGGTTGTTGTAGCTTAGGTAGGATACATTTCTGAAAAAATAGGCTAGCTTTTCGAACTGCATACCTGGGGACCAGAGTATGTGAGTGGTTGTAAATCTCGCTCATCACTCATGGAGCAGTGCTCAAGGCGCTCCATGTCCTTTCCTACCGCTCTGCTAAAAACCGGTCCAGGCTCACAGGAAGGAAAAAAAGAATCCCGCTCCAAATTTGCTCCATTCATTAAAATCACATTTTAACCAACACCCATCTATTTTTGTGACTACCTGGAACTACCAATTGGTTTTGAAGTATTGAAACCAAACCAAATGTATTTGAATGAAAAGTATTTGAATAAAGTGGTCCTCTGTAGCTCAGCTGGTAGAGCACGGCGCTTGTAACGCCAAGGTAGTGGGTTCGATCCCCGGGACCACCCATACACAAAAAAAATGTATGCACGCATGACTGTAAGTCGCTTTGGATAAAAGCGTCTGCTAAATGGCATATTATTATTATTATTATTATTATTATTATTAAAATGAAAAGGTTAATGTAAGAAGCAAACATAATTTCAAATAGGCTACATGTCATATTAAACAGCATATAAACACTTGAATGAAAATGAAGTATTTAGGCTGTATTATTTCAAGGCTTTAGCCTCCAAAGAAATACATTGTGAAGCATTTGAGAGTGGGACAATAGACTGGTAGGGACATAAAGGGCTCAGCATTTAAACATCATTTCCTTGTATTAAATCATTATTGTCTATAAATTGCGCTTATACAGTGGGGAAAAAAAGTATTTAGTCAGCCACCAATTGTGCAAGTTCTCCCACTTAAAAAGATGAGAGGCCTGTAATTTTCATCATAGGTACACGTCAACTATGACAGACAAAATGAGAAAAGAAAATCACATTGTAGGATTTTTAATGAATTTATTTGCAAATTATGGTGGAAAATAAGTATTTGGTCAATAACAAAAGTTTCTCAATACTTTGTTATATACCCTTTGTTGGCAATGACACAGGTCAAACGTTTTCTGTAAGTCTTCACAAGGTTTTCACACACTGTTGCTGGTATTTTGGCCCATTCCTCCATGCAGATCTCCTCTAGAGCAGTGATGTTTTGGGGCTGTCGCTGGGCAACACGGACTTTCAACTCCCTCCAAAGATTTTCTATGGGGTTGAGATCTGGAGACTGGCTAGGCCACTCCAGGACCTTGAAATGGTTATTACGAAGCCACTCCTTCGTTGCCCGGGCGGTGTGTTTGGGATCATTGTCATGCTGAAGGACCCAGCCACGTTTCATCTTCAATGCCCTTGCTGATGGAAGGAGGTTTTCACTCAAAATCTCACGATACATGGCCCCATTCATTCTTTCCTTTACACGGATCAGTCGTTCTGGTCCCTTTGCAGAAAAACAGCCCCAAAGCATGATGTTTCCACCCCCATGCTTCACAGTAGGTATGGTGTTCTTTGGATGCAACTCAGCATTCTTTGTCCTCCAAACACGACGAGTTGAGTTTTTACCAAAAAGTTCTATTTTGGTTTCATCTGACCATATGACATTCTCCCAATCCTCTTCTGGATCATCCAAATGCACTCTAGCAAACTTCAGACGGGCCTGGACATGTACTGGCTTAAGCAGGGGGACACGTCTGGCACTGCAGGATTTGAGTCCCTGGCGGCGTAGTGTGTTACTGATGGTAGGCTTTGTTACTTTGGTCCCAGCTCTCTGCAGGTCATTCACTAGGTCCCCCCGTGTGGTTCTGGGATTTTTGCTCACCGTTCTTGTGATCATTTTGACCCCACGGGGTGAGATCTTGCGTGGAGCCCCAGATCGAGGGAGATTATCAGTGGTCTTGTATGTCTTCCATTTCCTAATAATTGCTCCCACAGTTGATTTCTTCAAACCAAGCTGCTTACCTATTGCAGATTCAGTTTTCCCAGCCTGGTGCAGGTCTACAATTTTGTTTCTGGTGTCCTTTGACAGCTCTTTGGTCTTGGCCATAGTGGAGTTTGGAGTGTGACTGTTTGAGGTTGTGGACAGGTGTCTTTTATACTGATAACAAGTTCAAACAGGTGCCATTAATACAGGTAACGAGTGGAGGACAGAGGAGCCTCTTAAAGAAGAAGTTACAGGTCTGTGAGAGCCAGAAATCTTGCTTGTTTGTAGGTGACCAAATACTTATTTTCCACCATAATTTGCAAATAAATTCATTAAAAATCCTACAATGTGATTTTCTGGATTATTTTCTCTCATTTTGTCTGTCATAGTTGACGTGTACATATGATGAAAATGACAGGCCTCTCTCATCTTTTTAAGTGGGAGAACGTGCACAATTGGTGGCTGACTAAATACTTTTTTTTCCCCCACTGTAGGCTCTGACTTACTTAGAATTAAATACAAATTAAACAAAAAATTACTTATCAGTGCCTTTTTGAATTCATTATTAGAAACACGAGTTTGGCCAGTCTGTGGTGCCTGGAGAGCAGGCC